GGAAACCGGAAGCTGCTCCAAGAGCCCGCCCCACGGCTGGCTCCGCCCCAAGTCTCGCAGAGGAGTTCGGGGCCTACGCCCCCCAGCGGATACGACGCGTTCCTGCTTCTCGGCCAGGGTCTTAGGATGGAGGCGAGGCGCGCACATTGCCGAGCAGGGTCTGCTTATGCTCCTTCCCGAGGAACCCTGAGAAGAGGCAGGTCCTGAACCAGTGGTCCCAACAAAGCTCTCAGCTTTCAATAAGAATTTATTAAAGGCAGACAAGAAATAAGAATTTTTTTTTTCACTGCCGCTTCACCTTAGCCATTGCTCAGAGACACCAGGATTTCTTCTGATCCCACTACATCGCTTCTTCAAAATCAAGATTACTCAGTATGCTTGCCTGCCTCAGTCGTCCTGGAACACTTCTATGGGTTGTGGACTTATCACGTCACAAACTAAATCCTCTCCTGCTTGACCTCATTTCTAGTGGACTCTGAACAACTCTGTTTAATCAAATTCCTCTTGGATTGATTGCATCCACAATTCAGCGGGTCTCAAACTCTCTGGCTTCTCATTGTCAGCTTCCTTCCATTCTTGCTTTGCCCTGTATGGCCCTTAAGCGCTGGTGTGTCCCAACATATTATGCCATCTTTCAACAATACAATATAATTTTGTAGAGGGTGTTACAAAGTTGCAAATCAGCCCATCTCTTTACATGGCATTAGCTACCTATGCTTGTGACTCCCAAATCTGTGTCTCCAGCCGCAATTTTTCACTCCAAGCTCTGGACCAGATCACCTGGCTCTTAAACTTTCCATGTGGAGCCTCCTGATGAAGCTTCAAACACTCAATTACTGCATCAGTAACTTGTTTTTCCATATGACTTGTTTCTGCCTGTGTTCCCTCTCTTAGTAATTGATATAACCTAGTCACCACTGAAACTAGAAATCTTTTATTTCTCCTGGTGATCTAAGAGGGAATGATACTTAAATGAAAGTGAAAAAGTTGGTTGTGAACGTGTACGGTACCCGGGGAAAGATGCCTGCTCATTCAGACGATACACACATTCATAACTTGCTGTTCCTGCTGGAGGTAGGCTCCAGAGGGCAGAGCTATGTCTTTCTTGTTCACTCCTTCCCAGAGGAGGAGCTGGACTGCGTTTTGTGCATTTTTGTATTCCTGATACCCAGCTCAGTGCTTTTCATTGATCATTAAATAATGTGGAATATATAGTAATTTATGAGTGTGTAGTTTGGGACGGGTTTTCTCAAAATTTTCCATCCAAGTACCTGTGTTGACAAAGGAAAATGATGGCCCTAAAGTGCAAAGCTTGGGGGTACCCAAAACCATCCTCACTTTTTTAAAGAAAATTTATTGTCAAGTTAGCCAACATACAGTGTATACAGTGTAGTCTTAGCTTCGGGAGTAGATTCCCGTGATTCATCACATACAATATCTGGTGCTCATCCCAACATGTGCCCTCCTCAATGTCCATCACACATTTTTCCTGCCCACCCCCAGCACCCCGCCATCAACCCTGTATGTTTTCTGTATTTAAGAGTTTCTTATGGTTTGCCTCCGTGTTTGTAACTTATTTTTCTTTTGTTAAATTTCTCAAATTCCACATATGAGTGAAAACATATGGTATCTATCTTTCCCTGAGGGACTTATTTCACTTAGCAAAATGCCCTCCAGTTCCATCCACGTCGTTGCAAATGGCAAGATTCAATTCTTTTTCATCACCGAGTAGTATTCCATTATATATATACATACCACATCTTCTTTATGCATTATGGACATTTGGGCTCTTTGCATAATTTGGATATTGTTGATAGTGCTGCTTATAAACATTGGGGTACGTGTGCCCCTACAAATCAGTACTCCTGTATCCTTTGGATAAATTCCTAGTAGTGCTATTGCTGGGTTGTAGGGTAATTCTATTTTTAATTTTTTGAGGGACCTCCACACTGTTTTCCAGAGTGGCTGTACCAGTTTGTATTCCCACCAACAGTGCAAGAGGGTTCCCGTTTCTCCACATCCTCGCCAGCATCTGTTGTTTCCTGAGTTGTTACTTTTAGTCACTGTGACCAGTGTGAGGTGGTATTATCTCAGTGTGGTTTTGATTTGTATTTCCCTGATGCATCCTCACTTTCGATACCAATTGCAAGTTTTTGCTAGGACTCACAAAACTCACTGAAAGCTGTTTTACTCTTGGTTGTGGTTTATTGCACCAAAAGGATACAAATTAAAATCAGCCAAGGAAAGAGGTACATAGGGTGGAGTCCAGGAGACTTCCACACACAGGGCTTCCAATGTCCTCACCCCATTGAGGTGTAGACAGTATTAACTTCTTGCGGCAAAGATATGTGATGGTATGCATGGCGTATTGCCACCCAGGAGGCTCATCCAAGCCTTGGTGTCCAGAGTTTTAATTAGGGTTCAGTCTACATAGACAGTTGATTGCTTATGTGGCTGACCTGTCTCCAGCTCCTCTGTAGGTAAAGCTGATAGTGTGGCCCAGAACCCCATGAGCATAAAATTTGGGGGAAATACAGTATAAAATCTTGAAAATCTATGCAAATTTTATATACTAGTCCTAATACAGCTTTTAATATATAAAAAATACTAAAAAATTGCTTATTATTGAGTGAAACTGACGCTAAGATTATCACATTTATCCTGTGGCTTTTAAATTTTTTTTTTTTCCCAACGTTTTTATTTTTGGGACATAGAGAGACAGAGCATGAACGGGGGAGGGGCAGAGAGAGAGGGAGACACAGAATCGGAAACAGGCTCCAGGCTCCGAGCCATCAGCCCAGAGCCCGACGCCGGGCTCAAACTCCCGGACCGCGAGATCGTGACCTGGCTGAAGTCGGACGCTCAACCGACTGCGCCACCCAGGCGCCCCATCCTGTGGCTTTTAAAACCGGCTCACTGTTGAGTGCCTCTGGAGTTGGGGTACCCAGTTTAACATGAGTCCCTGTTATCAGAGCCACCAACAGCCTTTGTGTGATCAAGTCCAAGAGCTGCTTCTTACTTGACCTTTTAACAAGGTAGGCCTCCTTCTTGAAACACTTTTTTCTTTTGCCTTTCACTAAGAGCGTGGAGTTGTGGGAAGACCATGGACTGTAGAGCCAAACAGTCCTGGATTTTAATCCTAAATAGCTGTGTGATTTTGACTCATTTACTTTATCCTGAGTTTACTTTACCTCTGCTTTCAGAAAGCCTTCATGAGATTACATTGAACAACTACAGACTAATTTGCTTCTTGGTTTGCTTTTTTTCCTCAAAGTCAAAAGTGGGTATGTTTATCCACTGATACAAGGTAAGGCCAGAGCCTGGAACTTTCTGTCCCTTTTATATTGCTTAGGGAATAAGACAGTACCTGTAAGACTTAACTTCCACCTTATACCATACACAGAAATCATTTTTTAATGAATTATATAGCCAAGGGTGACACTAAAACAACTAAGTTTCCAGAAAAAAACGGGATATCATCATGACACAAGATAAGCAAAGATTTCTAAAACAGGAGACAAAAATCACTAAGCACAAAAGATTGATAAATTACTTAAAGTAAAAAAATGTATCAAAATAAATCCAAAACTTCCAAACAGAACCGAAAAACTTAAAAAAAAAATTGCCATTATCATAGCCTGTTCCTAATCTGCCAGTGTCTGACCTTGCACCAAGAGGAACATGTTGACCAAAGATGTGTAATTACCTCATGCAAAAGTGTGCTCACCACGAAAAGACATGGAGAAAACTTAGGCTACATGCTATATGATTCCCACCAGGTGACATTCTGGAAAAAATAAAAGAGACGCAATAAAAGCATCAGTAGTTGCCAGGGTTGGAAGGGGGGGCGAAGAGGAAGAGATGAGTAAGTGGAACACAGGAAATTTTTAGGACAGTGAAACCATCTAGTCTGATATTATCCTGGCGGATACATGACTTTATGCGTTTGTCAAAGCCTATAGAACTGTACAGCACAGGGTGAATCCTAACGTGAGCTATTAATAATGTCTTAAAACTAGTTCATCAGTTCTAATGAATATACCACAGTATTGCAAGATGTGAAAACGGAAAACAGAGGAAGATGGGGTATATGGGAATTATGTGCTTTCTGCTCAATTTTTCTATAAATCTAAAACCACTCTAAAAAATAAAGGCTACTAATTAAAAAAAATTAAAAAGTGAGCTCAGAATTGTTGTCTTTGTATGAAGTGATAATATGGTATCTGTAAAAAGTAACTTTGTCATTGCTGCATTCATCAACCTGTCCAATCTGTCATTCTAATTTATACATTTATGGCAATAGGTGGTTTTCAGTGTCTGAAGGAAAGAAAATTGACATCACAGGATTCAGAAAGCCCAAAAGGCTAGGTTTGTTAAAACATTAATTTTATTATCTGTATAGTTAACAGTCTGAAAGAAAACTCAGTGTTATAAACCATAAATGTAGGTGATACAGCGTATCCAAATTTTTTCGATCTGAGTAAATTCTA